GAGGAGGCTCCACGGTGCTCCAAGAACATCACTTACATGGAACAAATATAGTCATAGGCTGCAAGAGAAGGAATCCACCGATCAGATGGCCTAACAGCAACACACAAGAGATTAAGAAAATATGAATGTCCAAAGATATTTCCATTACCAGCGATAAGAAAAATATATGCAGCAGTGTTTTGGCATCGTCATGATCATAATAATAAGCACAACTCATAAACCGTCTCACTTGGTTGTACCTGATGAATGATGATCAATCAACAAGGGCATATTTCCAGCCGAGCAACAGGCCCCAAAAGTCGAGATAACCCAGACTGAGCGATAACATTGCAGATGCTTTGAAGTGTGCTGCTACCGCATGGACAGTTTGATGTGTGCTGCTCAGCACATCCAGTTACATATTTAAAAAATTGTATATCCATGTTGTCAACATGTATCTGCACCCACGTCTTTATATTTTTTGTGCGGGCAGCCTATTTTTTTAACTTCGTTTTTATTTTTATTTTTTATTTTCCCTTTTTTCCCACTTTAAATAATTTGGGATTTCAAAAAACTGTGACATTTAAAAAAACTGATAATTTTGTAATAAAATGTTCAGAAAAACATAAAATGTTTGTGAATTCAAACAATGCTCGGGATTGTTCTAAAATTGTTTGCATATTCAAAAATGTTTGCAATTTTGAAAAAAGTTCGTAAAATCAAAAAAAAGTTAATGATTTTGAAAAAAAGTTCATGTATTAAAAATTGTTAAGGAACTTGAACAAAATTTTTCTAATTCAAAAAAAGTTCATAAATTTTAAATAATATCCTAAAATTTTAAAAACAATTCATGAATTACAAAAGAGTTTATTGATCCAAAAACTGTTCATGCATTTCAAAGAATGTTTCTTTAATTTCAAAAAAATCCGTGAATTTCGATTTTTTTTCTATTCTAGAATTGTTTGCCAATTCAAAAGAAAATTCTTAAAGTATTCACAATTTTAAAAAAATGTTTACAAATAGTAAAAAATGTTCACAAATTTGTAAAAATGTTCACTAAGGTTCGAACGTATGTAGTTATATAGTAATGCTTCCGAGTCTTTGTGACTATATACCCGCGTGAATTCTGAAGAATTAACCGCCGGTGTAGATCGGAATATTATATTATGTTTAAAAAAACATTTCTTGAAATTCAGAATAATTCTTTGAATTACCAAGTTTTTTGACAACCACGATATTTTTGCGAAAATTTGAACATATATTCAGTTTGTCAATAAATTTAAGTAAGGGTACAATTTCTTGCATTTGTGAACGAATTTTTGAAATCATGCTATGAGATGTGAACAAAATGTGGTCATAGCCATTGGAGATTATGCCTTTTTTTTTGCAACGCACGGGCCCTTTTGTTAGTAATGGTAAAGAGTATGTATACATACATAAACGTAAAAAACACGCCTTTTTCTGTCACGATACACTATGAGAGGAAATAAATGATAACATATTATCTCTGAAATCTAATCTTAGATTGCAACGTTGTAACTCAACCTTTTTTTGCACTTCAAAGCACTATCTCAGGGGGGAAGAGCCATGTTGTTCCAGAATCATCACAAATCTTTGACGGGCTAGAAGTACCAAACTTCATGTTGAACATGTCGCCCGTGTCCATGAAATAAATTACATCTTCCTCCACCTCTCCGTAAGGTGCCGGAACAGACTTGGAGAAATTCATGCTAGCGAAGAGTGCTCGACCGCCGCCTAGCCCTTCGGTCAGTGGCACCCATGCGTGTGTGCTAAAGTCTGCTTCAAAAACATCCACTTTGAGAGTAACCCATGAACCTTCTGGTTGGAGGTCCTGACGATGCTTTACCATGAGTAGCTTGCCATCCGACTCGATAAGGTGCCGGCAAATCATGGTGATATTACCAGGTTCAGTGTCCTGATCAAATACAGCAGAGCAATTGACATTGGTATATGTCAAGTCATTGTGTTTTCCCCCTTCCTTTTCTTCATTGCTGTTTTCTGCATCGTCATGATCATCGCCCTCCTCGCCAGAAATGGTCTGTGATTCATAATAATCAAAGTAGTGCGATTTCTTGATGACACGTGTTCCCATTGCAACCAAAGGCCTTCCGTCTCCATTCAATGCAAGATCAAGGGTGATGAGATCCTCAGCCGTGGTGATGGCATATAGTTTATCACCAAGAAACGCGATGTCAACGAGGTAGATATATGGAGTTGTCGGTGACTCCGGCGACCACACGCCCTTCCCTCGCTGGAACACAATGAGCGGATGCTTCCTGTTGTTGGTAATAACGGCGATGAAGTCGTCGACCGTGGAGCGCATGAGGAACTTGCGTATGAGAGACCTGTCATGGACGACCACGGCGTCGAGCTCAGGCAGTGGCAGGGACCTGTTTGAGAAGGGATTGTGCAAGACATAGTTGCGCACGACATGGCGTCTTGCGCCCTTCTCGGTGGTGTGCTCCTGGCCGAGGCCGAGGGCGAGCCAGTCGTCGGTAGAGCCGACGCACCTGGCGTTGTCGGGGAGGCGGTGCACGTGGCTGCTGTAGGGGGCCATGATGAACCTGAACGAACCGGCGATCCATGGCAGACGCTCTTGGGGGCCATGGCAGAGCACGGCCGAGAGCCATGGACGGCAGACGGCCCCGTCGGCGCGGCAGCGGGGGCAGTTGGCCGGGTCAGGAAGGCTTCCCACCAGGATGCGGAGGAGCTTCCGCGCGAGGCCGCACCACTGCAGAATCGACGACGACCCATGTAGGAGGAGCGTGTTTCTCTTCTCTTTTTTGGTTCGATCGTTTTGGTGTGCAGCGCTTGATTGATCATGTATATATAGCGTATTTTTCTTTTCTTTTGTATCGTATCCGTGTAGGATTAGTGTCCGTACGTGACCGCGACTGCAGTTTATACGAGTCCGCTAGGATTAGGTCTAGGTTTGTACTAGTATTAATTAGGACGCTAGTTTTTTTTAGGGGTAACAACGGCGGGCATACACCACACAGGCTGCAAAGAGGACCACCATTGCTCGAATATTTGTTTGTTAGCATATAAAAAATTCTCAGCAAAAATAAATAAAACACATATATATGATGTTGTTAGCTCTCGCCCTCTGAATTGGACCATAACAATCCCTGGGAAATAATCCTTTTTTTAAGGCCAAGCGATATGATGCACATTCGTTCATCGAGGAACCACCGGCACAAACCAAGCACAAGAGTATACAAAAGATCAAGTTAAATGAGAGTTAGATCATCATTATGGAACCCTTTTTGGAGACCAAGGCTGCCCAACTGTGTTAGATAAATATATTGCAAAGCAAACTAAGGGCATTTCTAACCGATCCCCTATATCCGGTGAGCGATTTTACTCGGCTAACCGGCACCTAGCCGATCCCCTATCCGCAGTTAGTGGATTATATTTTTACTCCGGCCCCAAAAAATTCCCTATTTTTACTCCAGCGATTGGCGGCCGAGTAAAACGCCGCACCTCTCTCTCGCGTATGCGCCGCCACTGCATCTTCACCGACACGCCTCCCACCCGCCCCTCACCGGCCCCGCCACTACCTCGTTCCATCCTTTGCCCTCCGCCGCCGTTCTGCCCGTCGGCTAGCCCGTTCAGCCCTCGTTGCCGTCGCCGGAATCAAGGTGAAATGCCACCGCCGTCGTAAACTATATTCGTAATTTTGTTGAACATTCAAATTTATGTTTAGTTTCTATATGTGTGCTAAGATGTAGTTGCAATTTATACTAGAATTGCAAAGATTAGAAAAACAAAAAATTACTCAGTTATATTTAGGGAATTGGCTAGGTCCAGCAAAAACTTAGTGGAGTATATATACTGCACTAAGCCTTTTACTTCATTAACTTTTAGGGGATCGGTTAGAGATGCCCTAACAAAGCACATGAAGTAGACACCATGACAGAGTAATCATGCAGTTTAGTTCTGCAACAATCTTAATGTGACTACTGGTGAAAGGACATGGAGAATGTCTGCTTAACAACTCCAGCTTCGAACTTATTAATGTGAATATTACTTCCAGACTCTCCAATTTTTTAGATAGCAAACAAAGTTCAGATCAATCTAACAACTTCAGCTTCAAAACTTTCAGCCGCGCGTTTGGGTACCCGGAACATTACGTAAGTTCCTAGCTAAGCTGAGCGACCTTGCCCTAGTTTGGACATGGAAGTTTCAGGCCAAGGGCAAGAAACAAGGGACGTATATTACAGCTCACCCAAATGTGACAAATCGATCGACATACAAAAAAACTAATGTCGCAAGTGCATGGGCGCACGTAAAAACTTGTAAGCAAACGGATATGTAGCACGTACAGTAGTAGCAAAATTATCTCGATACAACTGACTGGCTAAATGGAATGACCTACCAATTGTGAAAACACACACACACACACACACACACACACACACACAGAGAGAGAGAGAGAGAGAGAGAGAGAGAACACGACCCATTAGAATGGTGATCAGGACAAATCTCCTGTCAGTAACGCATCTACATAGCAAGGTCTGTAAGGGAAGGAACGGTAGGCGCAACAAGCTTGTTGGAAGTGGTCTTTGATGAGCTCGTGCTTATCGCCTAGATATTGCATCCTCGACATATCGAGATGGTACACTACCACCATTGAGTGGAGTAAGAGGATGAGGGCATTCTTGTGAGGATGGAATCCCATGATTCTATAGAAATTCCAGAAACTCCATGCCAATGGTCCAAGGTGGTCGATGTCCCCATCTACATGAATGAAATTGTCTTCGTCAGAGTTCCAGGAATGTTCAGAGCCACCTATACTCCTAGCATCTTCTACTTCATGTCCCTCCTCTTCCTCCTCCTCTTGACCCTCATCCTCCTCTTTGACACCTTCGTAGCTTTCATCCTCGATATAATCATCATGACAATAATCCTCACTGCACATGCTTTCTCCACAGGACCTGTCTTCGAACAAGTTCACTAGCTCATCGCTACTTTCAACCACTCCCCATTTCACCCTCGGCTCTATTGTAAGATGGTCAGTTATATGATCTTGTGGGTTGAGGCTGGCCTCGTGTGCCAATGCCCACCCTAGTTGACCATCTATCGATTCGGTTAGCTTCCATACTTTGAGTTGCGGCTGGTTGAAAGCCACGCAGTGAATCCCTCTTTCATAGCTTGCCAAGACTGAATTTTTGGGTAGTGAGTAAAATCCCCTTGTAGCACAGGGTTCCCCGGGGAGCTGGACCATATCATAAGTCCACTTTGAGGGTCGTAAGATCATGAGGGCACTGTTGTGGCAATATACATAGAGTGACCCGTGCCAGTACTCGGATGACCACACCTTTTCATAGCTGTCGGGCGAAGTGGTCACCGCGTCGTAGAGGTGCCCCGGGGCACAACATCCAGGTGTGAACTCCCTGTTCTCCCAGTGCCCCGTGTGCGAGGAGTACACTGTCAAAGGCACAACCTTTTCTTTTTGTTCCTCGACACCTTCCTCTTGCGGTTGCTCGACATGGCCCAAATCCATGTTTTCATCTTCAACTTGGGACAATTGCTCTTCTTCAAACAAATTGGGCAAGTACGTTTGCTCTAGGTCGACCCAAGTAGGTGGTTCCGGAACGCGTGGCGGGTACTCCTCCTGAAAAAGGAACACCTCATACTGCAGGGAAACGGCCGGGTAGAAAGCGAGGAACATCGCGTCGACGTGGCATGTCGATGACATCTTTGGGAGTGTCAGGTCAGCAAACCGCGCTGTGGCCGGGTTGCACACTAAGTAGCCTCTCCACCGGTCCTCGAGGAGGAGAAGGCCGTTGCATGAGTGGAGCACGGAAGCACGGTCGAGCAGGGAGACGGGGCGCCAGAAGTCGGACCGATCGGCGGCCCGTGTGCCCGGCGGTGGGGCGAAGAAGGCGGCGTCCGTGTGGCATCCGACCTTGGTGACGAAGATGCCAGGAAATACGTGTCGGGGGAAGTAGCAGGGGAGGAGGACGTCGTGGGCGTCGACGATCGCGGCGCGCCACGTGCGGCAGACGCATCTGGACCTGGCGAGGGCGCGTGCGGGGAGGCGGCGGAGGATGTCCAGGAGCACGTCGCAGGGGAAGCGGACGCCGTCGCCGCCGGCTTCCATGTTGATGAATCGGGGACAGATAGGATCTGTGCGCAGACGCTGGAGGAAATAGATTTGATGTCCTTCTCGGTTTGGACTTTCCTTTTCTCGGTCGGGGTCCGATATGCACTTGGCCTCCGCGGCATCGTTTTCCAACCCCCGTGGAAGCATCGGAATTCATTTTAGCTTGTTTGCTTTTTTTTGCCACGATAGGGGAAGACTGTTCATGATCTCTCTTGTAATGGAAGCCAGAGCTTTTTCTAAAACTGAGCCACTTGTCTGTCCTTAAAGATGAGTCCCTTTACAGTTGCAGTTGGTCTCTGCGTTAATGACGCAATGGGTGATTTAGTAAAGCAGACACCATGGAGCTCATGTTCCGTTAGAAAATACTTCCTCCGTTCCTAAATATAAATTTTTTTAGACATTTCAAATGGACTACAACATACGGATGTATGTAGACATATTTTGAAGTGTAGATTCACTCGTTTTGCTCCGTATGTAGTCATTTGTTGGAATCTCTAAAAAAGACTTGCATTTGGAAACGGAGGCCCTCCGTTCCTAAATATAAGTCTTTATAAAGATTCCACTAGGTGGACTGCATACGGAGCAAAATGAATGAATCTACAGTTAAAATGCATTTATATACATCCGTATGTGATTCATAATGAAATCTCTACAAAATCTTATATTTAGGAACGAAGGAAGTACAATATAAGCGTTAACAGAATGGACTCCCGCAGCTAACTCGAAAAGAAAAATTAAATCGGAGGCAAAGGAGAGGAAATCGGCCTCACACATGGAAGCCTCGAAGAAGTGCCAATCCTTCCTCAAAGTAGGTAAACTGAAGGGAAACCGGCCTAGTTGTGGCCAAGTATGAGGCGGATCGGAATTTTTCAGAGAGCGACAAGTTCTGCCATTTTCTTCCTAATAAATCTGGGCCATTTTCAGGCGTACCTCGCTTCTTGGCCAAAGTGTGGGACAATGCCTCGCTGCATAGCCAGTGTGTGTGGGAGAAGACTAAGGCTCCCACACCCTCCGAACGTTTGCCAGCCCCTTCCCCTCATCCAAGGTCGGGGCCTCCTCTTCGTCCTGCGGAAGGCCAGCCGCAATGCGGGCTGCACGCCGAGCCTTGGCGGCACGCATTTTCGCTGCGATCGTTCCGCTTGGCGCTCCGAGGTTAGCAAGAACATTCAAACCTAAAGTTCAAATCAAGATTGATTTGTATAACTGGATTTTCCCAAATGCGGTATCACATTTTGTTTGATCCATATTAATAGTCACTTACTTAGTGCAACTTTATACTCCGATCCATATTAATTATCGCTGACTTAGTACAACTTTGCCGCTGACTATAAAGTTGTAACAAGTCAGCAACAATTAATATAGATTGGAGGAAGTATGTGAAATTAAGTTTTCTAAATATATCCGTGTAGCTTGTCAGAATTGTTCCATTCGTAAAACATATGGTCTTGTATCTCACAAAAATAGTTTCAAATGGTCTAAAAATGTTCATTTAGTTTAGTAAATGTGTTCTGACATTCACGGGATTTCTTCATGCTGTTCACAAGAATAGTTTCGATAGTTCAAATGACGTGTTATGACTTATGTGGCTCCCAGAGATATGTTTTGACAATCTTGTAGAATTTTTTTGTTCTGGTAGTTCATGAAAAATAAACATGCATCTAAACAAAAAAATGTCAACAAAAAAACTTCATGATAAACAAGAATGATGAACCTATTTTGGGCTATGAGTACAAGTTTGTAACAAATAACGAGCATTTTTAGAGATCTGTTTAAAAAGCAAAATTAGTTATTTTTGTTGAACACTTATTTTTTTGGATAAAACCACTTTTTAGTAGCGGTGAACAAAAAAAATCATGCTTCCTTAAAAAATTGTTTGTAAAAGGGAAAATAAATATATAAATAGGAAATAGAATTGAAACAAGAAAACATTGAAAAAGTTATAAAAAATGAACCGGTGTCCATGTAGAGACGGCGGCGACTCCCTGCAGATTGAATAAAGGTCTTCACGCACTAGCTCCTGTTTCGGTGATGCGTCTAGCATCGTCAGTGGACGTGTGGAGGTGTGTCTCCGGCTGATCTGTCTTTGATGGATTTGATCCGATATGTTCGTCGTTCGTCTATATTCCTGTGTCTCCAGTTTGGATCCTTCTGATCTACACTCTTCATCGGCGGAGGTTACTGTTCTGGTGTTTTGGTTCTATGGGGCCTTAGCACGACGACTTCCTAACTGTCAACTACAACAAGGTCTTTTTACTACAACAAGGTTTGCCCGGCTCCGGCGAGGGAGGAGCGATGATAGCGGCGTGCCTTTCGCTTGCTTGGTGCTTGTAGTCGTTGCTAGGTGGTCTACGAATCTTATGTAATTTTTATTATTTTTAGTGTCTGTTGTACTACTATGATTGAAGATGAAAATATTGGAAGTTTTTCTCGCAAAAAAATCTTAACAGGCCTTATTCGAACACTAAAACAGAACAAATAGTTTTTGACTGAGCCCTACGCACCGAACAGGAGGGAGTACCTAATGACAAGCATTTTTTTAACATGACAAATTATGAGAGGAAATACAGGAAAACATATTGTTTCTGACATTTAATCTTAGAATGCAACATTTTAATGCAAACTTTTTTGTATATCAAGGAACCAGCTCCGGGGGGAAGAGCCATGTTGTTCCAGAATGCTCACAAATCTTTGACGGGCTAGAAGCACCAGACTTCATGTTGAATACATTGTTCGTGTCCATAAAATAAATTATATCTTCCTCCACCCCTCCGTAAGGCGGTGAGACCGACTTAGAGAAATTCATGCTAAGGAAGAGTGCTTGACCGCCGCCTAGCCCCCCAGTCAGTGGCACCCAAGCATGTGTGCTAAAGTCCGCTTCAAAAACATCCACCTTCAAAGTGACCCAAAAATAGTCTGGATGGAGGTGCCGACAATGCTTTACCAGCAGTAGCTTCCCATGCGACTCGATGAGGTGCCGGCTAATTATGGTGACAGTACCAAGGTCATTGTCATAGTGAAATTCAGCGGAGCAATTGATATTGGTCAAGTCATTGTCCTCTTCCTCTTTCTCCCCTTCATCGTCATTGTCTTCTTCCTCTTCCATCTCTTTGTTCTGGTCGCCATTGTCAACTTCGCCCCTCCTCGCAAAAAGTTGTCCATAATTCATAACAATCATAATAGAGCGATTTCTTGATGACACGTGTTCCCATCGCAACCACGGGCCTTCTTTTTTTTGAAAGGGGGGGGGGGGGTTCCCCGGCCTCTGCATCAAGAGTGATGCATACGGCCATCTTATTAAGCAAGAAACAAAATGTGCCAATAAAGTTCCAAAGACTCAAACTTAAAGAAAGAAAAAGCAGCTCACACAGAGCGCAAAAGGCTAGATACACAAACTAGCCAGGAAAAGATGCCACAACCGGCTGGCTAAAAAAGGTAGGTAAACTAATTGCCTATCCTATTACATGACCGCCATCCAAACCGGTTGAAGATATCCCGAGCTACCATCTCCCAACGGATAGACCCAGTAACCAAATGCTCCCTGGCCTCCATCGGAGTGAGTAGCGACCACGAACGGATCACTGCCGTAGCTCGGAAAATAACCTGCAAAAAATGAATCCGTGATGTTCTGTTAAAAACCAAATCATTTCTGCAAAGCCAGATGGTTCACAGCAAAGCGCAGACTCCAACCCGAATATGTCTTGCTAAGGTAGACTCAATCCCATTAAGCCAAGTCCCAAATAAAGCATTAACAGTAGTCGGTGGAGTAATGTTAAAAGCAATGTGGACCGTCCGCCAAAGGACCTTGGCCAACGGACAATCAAAAAAGAGATGCTTAATCGTCTCATCCCGATCACAGAAACTACACCTAGTAGGTCCTGTCCAATTACGCTTTATTAGGTTGTCCTTGGTTAGAATAACTTGTTTATGGACAAACCACATAAACACTTTTATTTTCAAAGGAACTTTGACATCCCAGACATTCTTGGAAGTTGGAATGGAGTTCGAATTAATAACATCAATATACATTGACTTAACTATAAATACTCCAGACCTAGTCAACTTCCAGCGTAATTCATCAGGTTGGTCAAAAAGTTGAACCTCCATTAGTCTCCTAACTAAATGGAGCCAAACTTCCCAAGGATTGCCCGCTAGCGACCGTCTAAACTGAATATTAAGGGGGATAGATTGAAATACCGTTGCAACGAACACCTCACGTCGTTGAGCAATACGATATAAAGACGGATATTAAATGGCCAAGGGTGAGTCGCCAAGCCAAGTATCCTCCCAGAAACGTGTAGTGGCACCATTTCCATTAACAACTCTTGTCCTATTGAATATTAATTGTTTAACTTTCATGAGTCCTTTCCAGAAAGGCGAGTCAGTCGGCCTAACTGTTACCTGGGACAGTGTTCTAGTCTGGAGGTACTTGCTGCGGAGGATCTGCGCCCACATGGCTTCAGTCCCGGAAGCGAGCTTCCACAACCACTTACTAAGAAGGCATCTGTTCTTAACTTTAAGATTCTCAATACCAAGCCCTCCTTGGTCTTTGGGTCGACAGATAATATCCCATTTAGCAAGCCGGTATTTTCTTTTAAGTTCATCACCCTGCCAAAAGAAGCGTGATCGATAGAAGTCCAGTCTTTTCCTAACACCAACTGGGACCTCAAAGAACGATAAGAGGAACATAGGCATACTCGTGAGCACCGAATTTATCAAGATTAACCGGCCTCCGTATGACATGAGCTTACCCTTCCAGCAACTCAGTTTCCTCTCAAATCGGTCCTCGATACACTTTCATTCTCTGTTTGTCAGCCTACGATGGTGTATCGGAATACCAAGGTAGGAGAAGGGCAAACTCCCCAACTCGCACCCAAACAATTGCCTATAAGACTCCTGTTCGTCTTTGGCTCT